CTTAAATTTGAACATACTGCAAATATTATAAGAATATATAAAATTATTCAAACAAGAATGTTATTTTAGGTTTTGTTTAATAATAAAACTGAAACACACATACAGTTGATGTACGTATAAGTTCCCTAGATCCTATGAGGAAATCGCATGTAGGGGGCCTATTGATCGTCTTTAGTAGACTTCCACACGTCTATAGGTATTACACTTGCCTGTGAGGGACTTCATGTCCTATGACCATTCCTGTTCCGTTTAACACAGTTCTTTAATTATATATCGCATTGTTCTAAGTTGTGCGGTGAGTTTAATTCATTATAATAGATAAAAATTAAAGTAGTCATTTTAATAGATTAGTATACAAGAAAACAATCGACAATGAATATATAATAAGATCAAATTAACTGTAAGCATAACTAAATGGTATCTCCATCGTGATTATATAAATCCGATAATATTGTGAATTAAAAAATAATTCGCATCTATTAATATTATTAATACTAACATAATTGTACCGTGTTATTTCCTACTTACTTCTCACTTTATCTTTATAAATTTTACATGAGCTAAATTCTACTCTCATAAAATAGTTGGTACCGAAATATTAGAGCGACAGATGAATATATTATACGGAATAATACAACAATTATTATCTTCTAATATAATAAAATGTGGTAAAATGAGTGAATAGCAATAATAGATATAATCTAAGATTTTATGCATTAAGAAATAAGGTAAAAGAATATATATTAGTATTTTATACATTACATTTATAAGTTTATTTTGTCTTATGTAATTTATTATTCTATTTTTCAAAACTTGAATGACTATGTTGGTAAGTTAAATATGTTTTTATACAAATTTTATTTTGTAATATACAGATATTCAATAATATATACAGTTTACTTTTGATAGTAGTATATACAATAGTCCTTACCTTATTTACTGTTGATAACTTACATTAATTCTTTTGAATTTTACCTGTATAATATTGAAAGTAATTAAAAACTAAAATTTGAGATTTATATTTGATACTTTAGTTTTAAATGTAAGTAATATAACAAAACAATTGCTGTGGTTTTTATAAGTA